TTATTGTATCCAGATACAGAATTACATAAGTATTCAGTTTGTGATGCAGACATTCTCTTTTCAAATGTTATATAGAAGGGATGAATTACATTCAGATTCACTATTGCTTTAAGAGAGCAATATGCCATTTTTATATATAGAGATTGACAGTCCCATATCTGAACATCTGAAGACTGAAGCTCTCCAAAAAGCAAGCATTTTTAGATGGAGTTTGACATACAGAGAGGGGCACAAGAACTCAATGTATATTTTTAGTTTATTGTTTAACCCAGTGCCCCCAGGAAAATATCTTCACTGTAGTATTGTTTTATGAATTATCTCTGCACATAGAGGGCTCTGCCAGTGCTTAGCCACAAAGGAATCAAATTAGTAGATCTTATGACCTCACCTAATATCACCTGTCTTTGAGTTTGCAAGAAGAGTTTTTTTTACTAATGCTAACAATATCAAGATTTTTATTTTTATCTTAGATATAATAATTACTGAATTACTTAATTTCCCCTTTATTTCATTTTCCAGTATATTGCTGCATGAATTAAATGCAATAATAATTTTGTTCCTTTTTAATCCGTAGTAATGTAAGTATCTATACATTTTGCTGCAATCAGAAATTTAAAAATTGGAAAACCAAAACTTAACCCCTAGCTGACAGGTGGCATGTACGTACATGCCATGGCTGTTGTGGACCGAAACACGGATGGCATTATATCATGCCCATTCCCCTGCCACTGGCTCGTCAGACGGAGTTTGATTTTCTCCTATAGGAGCGGCTTTATTTATATGGTAAAGATTTTAGGCATTGGCATCTATAATGAAGGTAAATCTTCAAAATTATAATATTTTTATAAATTATAGCAAAATAAAAGCTTATAGATACCAAATGTTGCTCGCAAACTACCGATTGAGCAGGGCGCAAGCAGGGGAAACTGCCAATGCGCGTCAACAATCCCGTTATTACGTCCACTTGCCAAACATTTTTCCCGTTGGCACTGGGTTAACTAGCTCCAAGGATTTCTATACCTGTTGTACTTTTAAATAGAGAAGTCATAATGATCTAAGCATCATAATGTTGAAATGAAGTTATTTTTCTTTTTCTTTTAGGTTACTTCAGCAACCCCACTTGGCTGCAATGACGGTACTCTTGGCCGCAAAACCTCTGCAACACTCATGGAGATCGAGCGTAACCGTCAGATCCTACTGGCAAAACAAGGTGAGGGGGTCAGATCCTCCTCCAAAAAGATGAAAGGCTATACCTTAATGAAACAAAATACTAATGAGACTCTTGGTTCTGTTAAAGGAAATGTTCCTTCAAAGCAAATAAAAAATTGGAGTCCAACAAAGAGTTCAAACCTAGAAGGGGTTAAAACATATGTTAATTACAGTATTCAGCATTGTGAAAGAAACTTAAATAATACACTAAGCCCCATTTCGTGCGACATATTTGAGTTACTAGTGCATCCTACAACTCATGGTAAGAATTTCCAAGTGGGTTTTGAAAAAGGTGACTCTAATTGTCTCACTCTTAATGATAGGGCTTGCAATAAACTAGCAGATAATTTGATAGATGCTAATAGCATTGAATGTCCTATGCCTCTTCCTCGAACTTCTGCTTCTTTAACCTTGAGACTGACGAAAAACAGAGTGTTGGTATTGATGAGATATTTTCCAGAAACACCTGATTCTTCTGATCAAGGTAACAAGACTAGGGAATTAAGTTCACCCAGAGTAGATAGCAACTAACAGTGTAATTCCAACAGTGTAATTATTTAGGTAATCTTTGAGAAGTATTTAGATTAAGGTGAAACAACTGACATACATGTTATGAGTTTGTGATTTGTTTCATGAAAAGGCTAATGGTTTTGTTGTTAATTACTCAGAAGGAATATTCAGCTAAACGTCTATGTGGACAGAAGCCAGTTGTCGTTGATGTATATCAGACTTTAGAAAACTACCAAAACTATACTTTGCATTCAAATAGTAATCCAAGTTTGGGTACAGTGGTGTTAGATGTTAGTCTTTGTGTAGTACTTCTGTAAGATTATCTTTCAATACAGCATTATAATAACCGAATTCCATGTAAAGTATAGCATGCATTATATTGCATGAAAGAGTAATGTACACTATTTTGAAGTAGTTTCTGTAGAATATTTGAGTGGTCTGTACAAAAAGAAAACCCAAATTAGAGTTTTCAACACAACAAAAATGTCAATGATTAATTAAGTAATAAGTATTAAATAAAATTTATCAAATACTGTTGCTAATTATTTTGAAGTAAATTTTCATCATAAAGGGGTTATGTTTTTATCTTTTACACAGGAACAATGGTCATAGAAAATGAACGACGGCGAGTTGAAGAACTTAAGCGAAGAGTTGCAGATGAAGTGAAGGCACAATGGGAGGAAAAAAAAGCAAAAGAGCAAAGAGATATAAATTGTGCTTCTTTGAACAGTGTTGGCTCTGAAGATTCATCCCTGACATCCTCTGATCTTCATACCGAAAGGTAAGTACTGATATTTCTTTCTTAAAATTGCAAAGTTTATATGATAGATGTACATTGTGCATTCAAAGCTTTTATATATATATATTATATATATTATATTATATATATATATATATATATATGTATATATTATGTATTATATGTATTATATTGTATATGTATATGTATATTATTATTATAATATATGTAATATATGTATATATGTTATTATTAATATTGTATTATATTGCTTATAATATGTTATATATGGTGTTATATATGTATATAATAATATGTATATGTATACCTTATTCTCCAGGTATTTACTATTTTTTATTATTGTTATTATATAATGATATATTATATAAACTATTGTAATCATATATGATAACTATTAATATATATTATGTAGTATATATATGTATACCATCCCTATTATACTCAATAATATTATAGTAATATAGGATTCATATATAATTGTAACACTTCTGATATATACTTATATCAATACTATATATACATATATATATATATATATTTATATAATAATATAATATATATGTATATAGATACTACGTATATTATACATTGTGGTTTATATATAGCTATATATATTACTTAAATGTAATCACACTTAAATAATTACTATATTAATAGATTAATATATATTATATATATTAAATAGTCCTAAGTATATACTATATGTATACTAATATACATGTGCTGTATAGTATATATATATATATATAATAGTATATATATATATAGATATATATTATATATGGTATAGTATCATATATAGATATATCTATATTTATATGTATATCATATACATATATAAACAATATATATATAAATTTGATATTACATATATTGTACAATATATATATGTAACTACTCACCTTACCTATGTATAATTACATAAATACAATAACCTATATCACATATCATTATGTAAGCGAAAATTATATGTATATATATATGTATAATACTAACAGCTATTACATAATATATATATTACCTAATATACTATATATAATTGTATACACTATCATGTATACTATCACTGAATAATTCATAAACATGAAACTATCTAATTAACTGCTAGGATCATAATATAATATAATGCTATTATATATGTAATATGTATGTAGTACCCTATATATATCTATTTATATATATATAATATCGATATTAATTAGATATGATATACATATGTATGCTATATGTATAGTATTATATATAACTTACTTAATATACTAACTATACTATTTATATAATGTACTATATAGTATATACTATAATAAATGTTTAATATATATCGTATATATAGTGTGATATATATATATTATAATTACTAATATGTATATATACTTTGTTTTTTTTAATTTATGATATATGGACCCAAAGACTACCCTAGATATATGGATATATATAGCATACTCCAACATATATCACAATATGCCATGCCTAATATACACCATACTCCAGGTAATATCACTGCCTATAATCAATGTTATACCCTACTTCACACTAAGCCTACTTATGTATCATAAATAGTTATGTAAATGTATTATTACTATTATGTCATATGTCTACATATACTATATTATACATATATTATATAAGACTACTATATGCCATCCGATATATTAATAATATATGTATGACTAGTATCTAATGCATACTGTGCTAATATATATATAAATTAATATAAGTATAATATAAATATATAAGTATATGTATATAAAATATAATGTATTGTATATATACTTATATACATATAATAATATATATAGATATAGATCTCTCTCTCTCTTCTCTCTCTCTCTTCTCTCGTCTTCTCTCTCTCTCTCTCTCTCTCTCCTCTCTCCTCTCTCTCTCTCTCTCTCTCTTCTCTCTATTTACTATATATATATATATATATATATATATAATAAAAATATATAATATATATAAATAAATGTAATATATACTACTACAGTATATCTATACATAGTGATAACTATACATATAAATATATAACATATATATACATATATATATCCATATATACATTTATATTACACATATATTACAGTATAGCATTACAAAGTGATATTGTAATACATTATACCTATACATGTTATACATTAACTATTATATATGATATATTGTATATATGTAATATCAAGATATATATTTATACTATATATTATCACTATATGACATATATACATTATGAACTACTACGACGATAATCCACCTATAACTATACTACACTACTAAATATAATTATATATTACTATACTATACACTACAACCTATAACTAGGCAGTTATACTAGTATCTATATACGCTTATATATATAAGATCATATTCATAGGTATACATTATATATACACATTACACACACAGGTAGACCATATATATTATATCACTATATATATAAGTGATATATATATACCTATATAGGTATTATTTTTAATAACCTAATAATACACTATATATATTCTATTTACTATATATATACACATATATCACATAGTAGGGTATACTTATATCATATACATAATTATATATATATATATATATATACTATAATACTATATACGTATTATACTATATTATACTATATATATAATATCTATATATAATATAATATTATTCTCTACTACATATATATCTATATTATATTAAATATTTATAAATGTATATGTATTAATATATAAAATAAAATATTATTATTATATATATAACTATATATATAGATATTATACTTATATATACACTATATACACATATTACATATATATATATATTATCATAGTATATATATTACTACTCATATATATTATATATATATACTTATACCCACATACCTATGTATAGATATATATCAATATATATATATATATATAATACCTATAATATAGTGTATTGTATATATATGTATTATACTTTATATAATATATCGCTCGTAATACTAGCTAATACTGATACAGTATTAGTCATATAATAATCGTTATTTATATATATATATGTCATATATACCTATTAAAATAGTATTATAATACTTATATATATAATAACACTCATATATATTTTTTATATTATTACATAAAATACGTATACCATATATGATATAGATATTAGAGTGATTAGGAGTATTATCAGTTATACATATTAACATAACATTACATTATAATCTTCATATATATATCATCACTATCCTTATACTATATATATTATATATATATAAGATTCTCTCATAGTATATATATAAAGTAGAATATATACAATATTATACTATACTATATAATATATAAAATAGTATATATATATATATAATATAATAATATATATACATACAATACATACCTACCATTATACATACTATACTAATAGATATATAGTTATAATACATTAATATATTACCCTTATTATATATATCATACATACTATTAATATAATATTAGTGATACTATAGCAATCTATATACTCATAATACTTAGTATAGCCTTATAGTATATTCATACGATTAGTACCACTTAGTATATTAGTAACTATTGGACTATATATTATAATTACACTATATTTATATATATATACATACATACATTACACTACTCATATATATATATATATATATAAATATATAATATATATATATATATATATAAATATATATATATATACAGATTAAGACATACATTATATATAATTTACTTGATATATATATGCTATATACTATATATAACATACATATATATATTAGATAGGTATATTATATATATGTATATATATATATATATTATATATTATATACTATACACATACATTATGTGTATATTATACTTATAATATATAGTATATATATTATATACTTATATATATATACTCATAATACATACATTTTATATATATAGTGAGTGATTATATATAGATACTGCTAAAATATACATACATTTTTCTATCTTATAATATATATATAGTATAAATTAGCATATAATATAGCTATATCATATATGATATATACTTTTGTTATATATGTATATGCTTTAGATATAATATATATATTACTAGGTTATCTATTATTAATTATTAATTTTTTTTATCGTTATATATCAATTTTGTATTATTTTTTATATATATATATATCGATATATGTATCATATAATTATAATATATATGTATAACTAGTATATATATAATATAATCCTAATAATATACTACCTATAGTATAAATGTTTATATAGATATATATACTATATGTAATCATATAAATATATATACTATATATGTCAATACTGTTATATATTATACTAAGATATGCACATTTTATAATTATATATATGTTATATATAGTATAAGTACATCTCATATCAAAAATATTATACTATAACACACACCAATTCCATATATTATAAATTCTATATAATCACATATATATACCATATATATTATATATATATAGTACTAACGACTATAATTATAATTATACACAACTATATATGTACATATAATATTATAAATATATTATACAGTATGGATATACTAACATATATATATGTAATATACTGACTATATATACATATATATAATATTATATACATTATATGATACAAAATAATGTCATAACTATACTACTACACTAATAAGTAACATATATACATATATCTACTATATCTTGATATATATATATAATATACTAATTCCTATATTATATATAAACAGATATATATATAGGTATATATATATATATACACATTATACATATTATAACCTAGTACCCCTAATATAGTATATATATATAGTATTTAGATAGATTATATATATTCGCTATAAAAATATACTTTATATATATATTTTATATATTATATAATTGTATTAATAAAACTATAGTATTAGAGTAAATATATAAGATAAATACTATATATATATAAGTATATATATATGTATATATATACATTAAAATAGTTATATAACTATTATATAGCTATATATCATATAATATATATATATATATTTATATAACTATA